CCCCTGGATACCAAAGGTGTCCTTGGGGTGATATCGTAGTTCCTACGGGGTAGAGATGATGGGGTTGGTCCATGGATTTTCCTTCCTTTTGCCGCATTTCGCTCAAAGGGTTGAAGGAAGATAGTGCATCAAGCTGTTCGCAAGGGCCAACTTTATCCTCTTCTCCCGGGATCCCAGATGAGAGAACCCTAAGAGCCAATGAGAACGTTGGGCCCTAGAAGGGAGTGGATTGTGAAATTTCACACTGGTTGGAGAGGAGAACGAAACATTCCTTATAAAAATATGGAGACGTCTCCCTAATAGACACATTTTAAAACCGTGAGGCCGATGAAGATAAGTAACAGACTAAAATAGACAATATTTATTATCGGTTTTAGATGAAAAATCATCAGAAAAGGAAAATTAATTTTAGATCACAAAACTAAAATAATACAAATGTATTTATAGAATGTGGCATGTAGTATGACACGTGGCACCATGAAATGGTGGATTCAATTTTAAAAGCATGACACGTGGCGAATAGCCTTCCAAGAGAACCCTAAAACACGGGAGGAAAGAGAATGGCAATTCTGTAAATAAAAGAGATTTCAATGGCATTTAAATAAAACTTCATGTCTTAAACCTCATTTTCGTTTCTTCGGAACCACTGAATTTCTTGTTCTTTTCTTCTTCTCTTTTTCCCTTTTTTTCGTCTTAAACCCCAAAGCTCCGCCGCCGCCATGTCTGTTCTCAGCCACCTCTGCACGGTGGCGCGGTCTCTGCGCCACTGCCACAAGTCTCCGATCGCGAGAAGAGCGTATGGATCTGCGGCGGCGGTGGATTACGATTACTATGAGGACGACGAGGAATTCGAGAGAGTAAGTGGCGATCGGAGCCAAGGCAGGGCGATGGTGGACTCTCGAGGGTGGGTGCCGAGAAGAGGAGTGCAGTGGGTGGTTTTGGGAGACCCTGGCGCGAAGAAACATGTTTATGCTGAGAGGCTTTCGAAGCTTCTCGATGTTCCTCATATTTCCATGGGGAGCCTTGTTCGTCAGGAGCTTAATCCTCGGTCTTCTATCTACCAGCAGGTTCTTGTTCTTATATCTGATTTCACTCTGTGTAATGCATAACTTGAAATTGATGTATGATTTTGTATGAAATGGCTCGAGGTCTTGTATTACGCGTTTGGAATGGAAATTTAGTAGGTGAAATTTTATGGGGGAATGTATTTAGTTTCTGAAATTTAGAACTCAAGGATATAGAGGTATAACTTATAGAATAGTTTCTGAATTTGTTAACCTTTTCACTTGGATGTTTGAAACGTGATTTTAGTTAATTTTTGTGGCTAAATCATATGAAATTTCCTTCATCTATGATGTATCTAGCTTCAATTCTGTTCTTATTGTTTGGAAATTAAATGTAATCTTCAATCTTTTGACCTGTTACAAAAAGACCTCCTAGTAGTAATCTTTTGATCTATTAAAAGGGAAGTTGTCAATACAATTGTAAATAGCTCCGTACGCTGGAGGCATTTAATTTTGTCTTGAATAAATGATCATATGATATGTTTATAGGACAAGAATGGTCTAATTTAGCACGACATGAGAAACAAATATTAGAAGGATATAGATAGATAAATAAAAGAAAGTGACACAATTTAAGCATTGAATTTGATTCATCGTGTGTGTCATTTTATTTTGTTTGTTTGACTGTAGCCAGCAATAGACAATGTCGAATTACACTGAAGAACAGGCTTGAACAAGCATGAATTTTTTGAAATCATGGGGATCCTTGTTGGTTTGTACGATGAGATAGGGTCATTTAACCTGTTCCCTCTCCTCCATTTCAGATTGCCAGTTCAATTAATGAAGGATCCCCATTTTATTTTGTTTGTTTGACTGTAGCCAGCAATAGACAATGTCGAATTACACTGAAGAACAGGCTTGAACAAGCATGAATTTTTTGAAATCATGGGGATCCTTGTTGGTTTGTACGATGAGATAGGGTCATTTAACCTGTTCCCTCTCCTCCATTTCAGATTGCCAGTTCAATTAATGAAGGATCCCCATTTTATTTTGTTTGTTTGACTGTAGCCAGCAATAGACAATGTCGAATTACACTGAAGAACAGGCTTGAACAAGCATGAATTTTTTGAAATCATGGGGATCCTTGTTGGTTTGTATGATGAGATAGTGTCATTTAACCTGTTCCCTCTCCTCCATTTCAGATTGCCAGTTCAATTAATGAAGGATCCCCATTTTATTTTGTTTGTTTGACTGTAGCCAGCAATAGACAATGTCGAATTACACTGAAGAACAGGCTTGAACAAGCATGAATTTTTTGAAATCATGGGGATCCTTGTTGGTTTGTATGATGAGATAGTGTCATTTAACCTGTTCCCTCTCCTCCATTTCAGATTGCCAGTTCAATTAATGAAGGAAAGCCTGTTTTGGAAGAAATCATCTTCAGATTGTTGTCAAAGAGGCTAGAAGAAGGCTATTGCAATGGTGAATCAGGCTTCATTCTTGAAGGAATTCCAAGAACAAGGAATCAAGCTGTAAGTCTCACTTCCTTGGGATGAATATGGCTTTTCTTCTTCATTTCCAACGAAGCTTTAATCTCTAATCTTCTTGGTGATTCTTCACTGACATTGTTACTAGAGAATACTAATACCAACTGGTGCTAAATCTTTCGTTTTCCAATGGGTGGTTCTTCTTTGTAGGAGATTCTCGACCAAATTGCAGATATTGATTTGGTCATTAATTTCAAAACCACTGAAGAGCCTTTGATTAGAAAGAATCTAGGTTCTGGGAACTTCTCTGGCTTACATGGATATAGCAGCATATGCAGCTCTGGGAGTAGTCAAAATCTTCAGCCACAGGACAAAGAACCAAAATGCCTTTCTGCTACCACAGAATATTCCTGGAAAGAAAAGGCCTCTATGGAGCAGGTAACAACATTCAACTCTTAAGTAGGCCTTCCAATATTTGAGTTTTGAATGTCGATGATAACGTCCGTGTTTATTAAGGCTCAAGGTGATTTAATGTCGTGGTTTTAAGCTTCCAAATGGTAAATTGAACCACGTAAAACTTTAGTTAAAATACCATTTTAGTCACATACTCAAAAACTTTTCTATTTTTGTTCTTATGTACTTTCGAATGCGTAAATTTAGTCTTCATACTTGTGAATATACTGAAATTTGGTCCTTGGTCCTTGCTGCCAGCTTATGGTTAACTTTTTCAGAAACAAATTAGTATCTATGAGTCTTCCCTTTATAAATTTATGAAACATATGCACATTGTTTCTTTCTACGTATGGAAATTATAATAGCTAGTTTGCCAATTTCAACCAAAATTAATTTCAAACTACCAATGAGGACTAATCTCAAGTTCTGAGATTTATAGGATTTATAGGATTTATAGGAAGTACAAAAACTAGAAGTTTGAACGTACGAGACTGACTAAAATTCTATGAGTCTTAAAGTACAAGGACCAAAATGATATTTTAACAAAACTAGCTTTGAAGTAGGCAAAGTCTTCTCGTAGATTAGTAAAGGTGAATCATAAAAGCCTTCGATAGCCCGTTTTGATGTATTTCTATAACGATCTAACAAGGAATACAATTCTGATCATATCCGTTTTGGGACTTTCAGAGGAAACCATTGGAAGATTACTACAGAAGACAGAGGAAACTTGTTGATTTTCAAGTAACAGGAGGACCTGGAGAAACATGGCAAGGGTTATTGGAAGCATTACATCTTCAGCATATTAATGCTGTTGGTTCTACACAAAAGCTAACCACTTGATGTGGCTCAAAGTTTTGGCTGTTCTTTTTTTTTTTACCATTCCGGCGTAGTAGTAAATATGAATGTGAGAGTGAATTGACATGACATGATGCAGGAGTTTTCCTCCGGCAAATATATCAAGTGTTGAAGTTTAGTTCAGTTAATATTTTTATTTATTTTAACCTTTGTTTTAACCATTTTTGTTTGCTGGATGCAATGTAAAGCAAACCAGATTGTGAGATTGTGAGTTTTGTAATGTGTAGAAGTGAGAAATAAGAGAGATATATAACGTTGTTCTCTCGTCTTAGTATATAAAAGCGGCATTTTTCATGATTTTTTATGGGTCGGCAAGGTTCTTTAACGGGTTGAATAAGATTATATGTTCGATTTACTGTCTGTTTTTTGTTGTAGGAGATCTGGGAACGTGCCCTATGAATACCTATATAAATAGGGTCACTATTTGCCTACTACTAGGTTAAGTAAAGGCGGAAGAGTGAATTTTAGATTATATCTGCTGGGTAGGCTGGATTGCGGTCTTGAAAAAATCTCTACGAATTCTTCTTTGCAAGAGACATCCCTATCTCTATGAATTCTTCTTTGCACGAGACATCCCGGGGTGATTTAGTAATGTCTCTTGGTAGCCTTGTTAAACAAATTTCAAAAAATTTCAAATTGAATAATTAGACGCCCTTAGGAGTCTTGTTTTCTCAAATTCCCGCTTTCCACTTTGATAAAAGGCTTTGACCTATTCCACGAGTAGACATTTTTCTCAAATTGAATATCTGGGAACGTGTCCTATGAATACGCATAGAAATAGGGTCACTATTTGCCCTACTAGGTTAAGTAAAGGTCGGAGTGAACTCTACAAATTCTTCTTTGCAAGAGACACTACAAATTCTTCTTTGCAAGAGACATCCTTGGGTGATTTAGTGATGTCTCTAGCAGACATGCTGGGAACTCAAGATCGTATAATTAGTTTACAAGACCCTCTTAGGGGTCTTGTTTTCTAAAATTCCCGCTTTTGACTTTGATAAAAAGCTTTGACCTACTCCATGAGCAGACATTTTTCTTGATCTAAATATATCCAACAATCTCTAAGATTTCAGTCTTTTCTTTTTCTTACGAGGAAGGACATATTATTTGTTTGTGAACATAATTTGGCCACGTGCATGTCAAGTCATGCCCCTTGATGATCAGATTCAAACTTTATAATTTTATAGTAAAAAATACCCATCAGTTAAACTATGCTCAAATTCAATTCAGATACATTACGCTATTTGCTATATGTAATCTTACCCTTGTTTAGCATTTTCCTTGCTACTCCTTGCTACCAATAATTCTAGTTTCACAAGTTCATTGCAAAAAAGAAAGGGATAAAAAATGGATCTCAGGCTGAACAATCCTACAAGAAACTCGGGTCACTTACTCTATACATAAATATACAATCCCCAAACCCACTGCTTAGAACACCTCAGTTCCTCATTTTGTTGCATTTATCGATCAACTTCTATCTAACTTTGTCATAATGAATTCTTCTTCTTTTTTTTTTCTTTTTTTTTTTCACTCGCTATTCACCCCACACGTCTCGAAGAAGATCATACCTGGTAGCATTGGGAGAAGTTCTACTAGCTGGTGTTGATGGAGAAATTGCAGCGTCAAGAATAGAAGCAAAGGGTGAGCTCAACTCATCTAGCTCGTCATCACTGGTGTTAGATTTTCTGAGCACTGAAGACCCGCTTCTTCTTAGCTCGGGCTTCGTACCGACCTCGCCAATGAATGTCACTACAGAAGCTACTGAGGGTGGATGATAGGATACAGAGGCTGCTGTGTGCGGGAGACTCGTGACGAAGTTGTCGTCGACTTCAGATGGATCCTCCTGTTGTAGAACAAAGGAACTTAGATTCTCATATTCTTTTAGTAACTAAGATAGGCATAATGATGAAGATGTGCCTTGGAATGCCACAATGATTTCACATCACAAGAGTAATGTAAGGGTAAGTGCTAAATTAAGGACCAAAACCATGAAGATCTATACTCAAGTAACCTCGATATCAAGAGCTTCAAGAACAGCATCAGGGATCGGGTCTTCGCAAAACTCGTCTGGAACAAAATGTTCAAGAATGGTCTTGATTACTGGTGCACTAAATGAAGGGCATACCTTCAAAGATATAGTTTGTGAAATGAGTACATGCATTGGAAGTTGAATAATTAATTAGACAAATGGGTAAAGGGAACCTAGAATTATACCTCTTTTCTTACCGACTGGCTCAGGAGCATGTCCTTAGGAAGCATCATGAGATCACTTAACGCATTCAGAAGATGGAAGGACTTGAGGGTGCTAGCATCTTTCCCTTCGTCGTTATTATTTTCATCACATTGATCATCGTCGTCCAAGCCAAAAAGATCAGTCAGCCATCTCGACCAGTTTCCAATCTGAACCATAGAAACACAGCTAATGCCCTGAGTATCTTTGGCAAGAGATCAAATCACTGGATATCAATCTAATGCATGCGCGCGCAGGCACGCACACACACAAAAAAGAAGAAGAAGAAGAAGAAGACAGGAGAACAGAGCTGACGCAATAATCATCTTTGAGAAAGAACAACCCACAACTACGAAATTGGCTTCCAAAAATATGCAAATTTTGGTGTAAGCACACGTTCTATTGAGAGAAGCGCAAATGTTTGTGACGTCATCTAAACAACAAGAAAGTGAATAGAAGTGCAATATATTGAAGGTAGGTGTGCATAGTAATGGTGTTCTCGCTAACCAAATGAGAATAGGAACAATAAGTAACTAACCAAGAAACAGATAAAAAGATGAAGAAGAAAGTGGTTCACAAGACAGAGAAAGGCAATAATGTTGAGCTTATGGCAAAAGAATCCTCACAAACCAATTTCATAGAAGACATCAACTGGGAAGTGGAAAGCTTACTGCATTTTTAAGTAGTGCACCAGCCCCGAAACTCGATTTTCCAACTGGAATCGGGAGAACTTTAGACTCGCTAATAGGGTCCGATACAGGATCAGTTGGTATTTCGTCGGCAGAATCACGAAGAATAGCATTGAACATTGCTGTATCCAATCTAGCGACACATTGCTCCATTATCTAATAACGAAACAAATATGCATTATAATTCCCTTTCTTATAACTATGACCCCACTACACTAAAAAATACATGTAATACATTGCAAGTGGTAAGTTCTAAAGCTTTACGAGAAAATCGTTAATAAATACCATCATGCACCTTCAAATAAGAAATTATTTGTAGACCGGTACTTATCAGCGTACTGCTAGCCTTCTAATAGTACTTAATTTAGGGTAAAAAGGCTCACCTTTTATCGAACAAATACGGTCACGAGTGTTAAAAGTTGGTTAATATCACATTAATGCTTCCTATTTGATTGATCTACAGATTTTCCCCTTGCTAACTTGATATAGAAGAATATAACGTAATTGCTTTAGGCAAAATCAATCAAACGTACCAATCTAGACAGAAGAGGCAAGCAACCACACTCATGTCCTTCAGCTCGAACGGGGCAAATTCTTTCACAGGCATCCTTGAAAGCTTTCTTCCAAAGGTCCAATGAAAAGTTCCCTTGATCATGATTGACTGAACTAGAATTTCTCTTATAGCTCTTCCCTGAGGATGGACTGGAAACTTGATTAATTGTGTTTGCTGACGCCGACTGCATATGTGGAGTCAATGTCTAGAAAAGAAAGGAAACATGTTAGAAAGTCAATACAATTTTGTGAAGTTATTTCAATTTTCTGAGTTCCCAGGCTATTTTTACTTTAATTTAAAGCGGAAGAAATGTAGGAAGGAAATGCATTTAACACCTGCCACCAGATGGACTCAATGATACGGGAGAAGATCCAAGCCTCAACCTTTTCTAAGGCAGATGTAAAAGTATGTATATCTTCCCAGTCACCAGAACTTCCATGCCTGCCATTTCCATTCTCTCTTTTGTTTGGAGACGCCGCTTTCCATTTTAGTGTAGATGCTGCTTTACTACTTTCCCAGTTAGCATCATTTTTGCTTGAATGAGATCCAGACGAAACTTGTGTTTTCAGGCTCACCGCATCCTGACTTACGATTGTTCTCAGGACTATTGAATTTGATAACCAGAAAGTCAATCTGTAAGTTATAGTTAGATACTGGGTTAGTAAGTAAGCTAGTTCATACAATCTCACTGCACATATCCTTGCCTTTAATGAATGTAATACGTCATGATCACACGTCGAGTTAAAAGCAAACAGAGAAACTTTGCCCTTTGATCCTTTTCAAAGACACATGATTAATATTATTAAGGCCCCATTTGATAATCATTTAGTTTTAAAAAATTTTATTTTTAAACATTGTGCTTGTTTTCCTCCCAACTTCTTTTCAGTGGAACATTTTAATTTTTAGCTAAATTCCAAAAAAAGAAAAAAAAAAGATTTTATGAATTAAGTTTTTAGTTTCCAAAACATGACTTGGATTTTGAAAATATTTGTAAAATGTAGAAGAACAATAGAAAGAAACTCATAGATGGAAAGGTAGAAGTCGTGTTTATAAATTCAAGTTTCAATAACTAAATGGATATCAAATGGGGTATAATATTTGCCTAATTCACTAAAGCTAAAAGACAGTTCTAAAAGAAAAGTGGATGCCAATACACCATAACCATGAATTGCAGCTATCTCCACTATTTTGGTTCTCCAAGCATGTGTGCTTTGGAAAAACAACATGCTTGAGGAGATGGATATGAACAATATTTAAATGGAAATATTGAACATCATAACTATAATAGTATCTTTTTAAAAAAAATACCTGGGCACATCATTTCCACAAGCTTTTGCTATCAAAACAAATCCAGAAACCACACTTCTAGCAGCATCGGCCTTCCGTGACTGAGAACTTTCTCTACAAGAATGAAGATACAGCCTTGAAAGACGCCGTGCTGGAGCATGGACCTTATTCATGGAACTTCCATGTTCAGCAACTATAGAGTAAAGAGCTGCCTCAATCGCTGCAGCTTCTCTCAATTCTCCCTCAAGCTTCTTTATCTTGTTCTGTAATTGTTGGACTTTGCTGTCCAAAACGGAATTCTTTGTATCCTTTGTATATGGTTTAGGATCCCTTCTTTCATTTCTTCTGACAATTTCTAAGCTGTTATCTGAATGTGGTGATCGAACTGACTTAACATGCTTTAATCTGTCATTTTTCTGAACTATGCTTGAAACTGCATCACTTCCCACAGCAATCTGCTTTACAGTATCGCCTTGTCTAGCCGAGAGATAATCATCTCCATCCTCTTCTGTTTCAACATTTGAAGCCTCCTGATAATTCCTCCCGTTCAATTTCCTTCCATTACTCTCCTTTGCCAAATGATCGGCAACTTCAACCTTCCCATGGTTGTAGATATCACTCTCATGCTGTTCATGTTTTGGAGGTGAAGAATAGTAAACTGTATAACTTTTTTTACCAGTTTTATCAATTGAAACTGAACCGACCTTTCGAGAGTTGGAGATAGAAGCACAATTTTCAGGACTTCCTGGATCAGAGGATAATTCTATTGATGAGGAGGAAGATGATTTCAAATTCAAACCTCCATGTTTTCCATTCTCTGGTGTCATATTCGATTTTTCAGGCTCCAAGTTTGAAATGGAGGCATGCTCCTGTCTATTATCAGTTCCATGAATCGACGTACTTAGGCCACCCTGCAGAATCATATCATGTATAGTTTAAAACATTAAATCCTATGAAGCAGTAGATGACATAAAGGAGAAGGATATAGGTCCAGTATCAGGCTTCACATTACATGAAATCACAAGACGTTGAGATCATTGATTAATAATAGGTTAGATTACAAGTTTAGTCACCAAACTTTCAAACTTGTCTCTCCTAGCAATTCTAATCCATCCAGTTTATATTTCCCTGGGGGTTTAATGCTGCTTCTGATGGTTTGGTCAAAGAAGGGCTTTGAAATCCAGAATGTCTATGCTATGGCTTTACAATTTTCTTTCTTGGCTATTATTTCTTGTTGATTCTGAATTTTCTGCACGTAATTTGGGAGGGATTTCCACCCTAGCTAATGATGTTCTCGTTTCAAAAACTAAATAAATTTAATGTCTAATAGGACTTCAAATTTTCTGGTAGGTCTATGAATTTTTTTATAAAAAAAATGTCAAGACAAAAAAATTGAAAATGCAAGGCCTACTAGATAAAAAATTGAAAATCCAAAGACCTATTCGCATAGAATTGAAAGTTTAAAAATATATTCTATACTTTTTAAAGTTCAAAAACTTATTTGACACAAAATTAAAAGTTTAAGAACTTATTACACGTTCTTTTAAGCTTAAAGAACCCAAAGATTAAAGGACTTAAATTACCTAAACTTGTAATTTAATCCTAACAATATATAGGCCAACTGAAAAGAGATTAAATATAATGTTCACGTATTTTAAAAGAAACTGTGGTCTTGATATCACAACAGAGCACTGATTACCGATTACTGTGCACACAGAGAGGAAAAAAGAAGAAGAAGATTAGAAGTACTAATTTTTGGGTCATTTTGGAAAGTTTTTTTTTTTTTAATATACTGTTAACTTAATTTCAGGGGGACAGTATGAATATACAATAATGCATTGTCATAAAAATAAATTTATCTGTAAGCCAGACAGCTAACATAACAATGAAAATGCCTCTGTTGAGGCTTAAAGTCTAAAGAGTAATGAAGCCTTACACTTACCTCAATGGTAGTCTGATGCAATAAAAGCCAGCATTGATTGTAGCAGTTACATACAAGCATGATGAAAGGGAAAAAAAAAACTATAAAAACAAATTAATACCTCTTCAGTAGGTGGCACACAACCATCAGGCTCTAAAGCAGAAGACGTAGTCATGGAAGAGTGGGATGAAACATCATCATCAGTGAAGGATGCAATCTTGTTTGGATCTCCATAGTCTGAGGCTGAAACAGATTCGCCATCAAAACTGTCCAATGACATCTTCCTGGATAGGGTATCCTTTAGTGAGTTGTTGGTTTGTCCTTTATAAATTGGCTGAATTTTAATTGACAACATTGGCTGAAGTGTGTTCTTGAAGTTCCTCTGGCAATGCACTGGAATAGCAACAGACATTACCTCTCTCACGACACCAAATTCAGCCAAATCTACGGTGGCACTAGCCAACAATTGGCCTTTAGCAGTCTTTTCTCTGCGAGACTCAAACAAGTTGAATTCCAAAATGTTCCTCTGGAATGTATCACCATCCTTGCCTCTAACAGGTATGTCCCGTACCAGAGCGACAGATAACTTAAAAGATTCATTGAATTCAATTTTTCCCTCGCCAACTATAGATCCAATGGTCGGAATAACAAGATTCGTAGATCCGGAGTGGCGATCGCCATTTTCCCATTGAATAAACACAGAACGCAGGGTCGTGAGCGACTGTGAGGGTGGCCAGGGCTTTATATCCTGAACATGGATCCTATAATCAGCGTGAACAATTTCACCTCTCCTATGCTTTCCTTTCAAACCAAGCACCATTGTTGAAGAACCGAAGCAGAGCCCTCAATAAACAATTTTCTCCAATATAATCAAAAGGTAAAGTAACCACATCACGATCTATAGCCGAACATAGCAAATCCCATAACAACTAACGCCGAGGAGAAACAAAATAACCATGCAAATTTTCCAGAATAATATCAAACAACAATCTCTTATCTAAAACGAACTCTTCCCCGGGTACAGCAACCAGCAGGCTCCAGAACGACCATCAATCAACACCTACACTGTAAAAATGAGCAAATCAACAAATCAACAAACCAACAAAACTCAAAACGCACTCATCAATAACCGCCGCAGAACCAATACATTTATTAATCGAAAAACAAAAAAAACAAAAGGTACGGTACTGCATTCGAACATTTCTCCGTTTCCTCGCTTCCAGAATAGAAAAATCCAAGGCTGCAACTAGACTAATAGCGAGAGAAATCTTTACTTCATAGTTGATTTTGCTTCAAGATCAACAACTATACTCAAACGAGTATGCTGAAGCTAAAAAAGGCAAGTAGACGAAGCTTGTGAGTAACTTCCAAAAGGTACTCCACTATCACCAGATCCAGATCAAATGCAATAGGACAACAACCGAAACACCAGAGAATCTCAAAAATTCAGAAAAAAAAAACCTCAAAACCATTCCTACGGAGCAGAATGCAAAAATTTCAAAGAACAGTTCGATTCCACCAAAAACGTAACCGACAAACCGCAATGTTGATAACGAAGTAGGCTTAAGAAGAAGAAGCTTGAAGCTAGAGAAACCGGTAACAATGGAGGAAAGACGGTGAAACGTACCGTCCTGTAAGGGGGACGGCTCAACCATTCCTCTCCACTGACTGAGACAGACCAACACCGGTGGTGAAGAAGAAAGCCTGAATTAAAAATACAAATAAATTAGTTATTATTATATTATTATTATTTTAATAAATAAATATAAATAATACAAAATAAAATAAAGTTGTCGAATTTTCATTATTAAATAAAAACCCAATAATGGAGCAACAGAGATTTATTTTTGTGCTAATTAATATTAAGAAAAATGCTGAATTAATAATTAAAATAATTAATAATTAAAGAAAAAAGAATAATTCCTTTTTGTTAGCTTTCGAATTTTTTATTTTTTTAAATTCCTTTTTTTATTTATTGTTTGAAATTGCGCATGATAACAAAATTGTCGGTAGAGGACTAATTCAATTTCCAATTAATTAAATAATATTTTCTTATTTTAATAATATTAGGCAGGTCTAGGGGTCTTACTAGCTTTCGAGTTTTGCGTTCATCCGTGGATAATTTTCTTCCGAGATAGAGATTTTTCATTTGTTGTCGCTCAACAACAGCAGGTTTCGCCTCTGCAGGCAAGAGACAACCGAGCGAATTGAAATATCTTAGTAGCTAGAAAAAAAGGGAGCAAAAGTGATTCTCGTAGTAGCAGGGAGCTGTTTAAAATGTGAAAACGGGATTGTGGGAGAGCAATACAAGCATCCACAACGGTTTTTCGAAGCAAGATGCTAGAGGGGACGAGTGTGTCTTGTCACTTACACGAGATGATGGAACTCCTCGGTTAGTCTATTTAGAATGAGTCAACTGATTAAAACTCTTTGTCGAAAAAATCATATTGAAAAAGATACCTTTTTTGTTCATCAAAATGATCGAGAATTCCACTCGATATGATGGAAGAATCTAGACGAAGCTTGACTAAAGGGTTGCTGTCTGTTTTTTCCCGTGAAACAGGGTTGGGAGCAAACAGTAACGGTTTACTTTTTTTGAGTTGAAAAATGTGTTGTTCGATGATGAAGGTCCCACATCGGCTAATTTAGAGAATGATAATGGGTTTATAATCAAACAACGCGAAACAAAGCCACGAGGGCTTAGGTTCAAAGTGGACAATATCATATCATTGTAGAAAATTGTGTTCATCTAATATATGAATAAATATTCAATTCAAAATATAATATTTTAATACTGAGTATAATATATATTTTATCTCAATAATAATAATAATAATAATTTCTCACGTGATATTTACATAAAAATGTAAATATTTAAATAATAAATAATGGAGATTAAATAGTAAGGAAATAAAATAAACTAAGAGGCCCAAAACGACACCGTATGGAGCGTTTATTTCAATGTAGTTTCACCTGCTCCGCACGTTGGCGGATAGCGACGCATTCACTAACTTGCTTTACAACTAATTAAATTAAAGCCCACGTCATCCCCCAGAATATTGTCTCCACACTCGCATTCAAAGCGCGTGTAACAGCGTGACGGAGTTTGAATAATTACACTCGGCCGAAAACAGAGGCGCGTGTTCAACACTGTGATACATTGCACGTGGATGGGGAAGACAACGTGGGGTAAGGACTTTTAAAAGTACGTGTCCCTATCACTTCGACTGTTGCGCACCTGTGAACCGTGGGCCCCCTGTTTTGGAACGGCGTCGTTTGTGTGGGTGGTTATTTAAATATATTAAATTATATGTGAAATTACCAATTTACCCCTCTCTAGCATGAACAAATAGATATTTTAGAAATTCGAAAAATATCCAATTTAATTTTGTATTTTATGTTTAACATCTCTAATTATTTGAATATTTAATATATTTTTAAAACTTTTCATTTAAATTATTAAAATATATAATAAAAAGTCAACGTGTTTGACTATCATTTTTTTAATATTTAATTTATATATTTTATGTCATTACGTTATTAAATTTTCATCGAATTTTTTTTTAATTTTTAAAATATTTATGAAATATTAAAGGTAGTACTCGACTTTTAAAATAATAATATTGTTTAAAATATTTTTTAAAATTTAGTTTAGTGTTAAATAGTTTTTTTTTTAATAATAATTTGAATTTTTGTGTATAATTACTATTTTATCCTTACCATGCAGTTATTTCAATTTATAATACATACATTACTCTCCAATTATTTCATAAACATTATTCTAAATAAATATTTGGACATAATAATTGTGTACAGTTCAAATTTATAACATATAGGTCCACTTTCATGGCCTAAGTTTTTGGACACATTATTTATATTATAATTATATATATATATATATATAAATAATATTTTCAATTTAAATTTTTTGAAAAACGACAAATAAAAAATTTACCGTTAAATTAAAGTTATTGTCACTGTTTTTTTTTTACGGTTGATCTATGTTCAAATTGGCAAATTTAAATACACGAATGGGTTATTATTACTGGTCATCCACTTTCACTTTTTGTTTTTAATATGATGCAGTAAATTGATATTAAATTTTTGTCAATATATCGATAATTTCACGTGCTTGTAATTCCGACATAAGCATAGTGATGAATCAGTATTTTTATTAATCATAGAATAGTCGACTGTGTATAGTAAAAATATTATAACGTGCACGTAACATTAATAATAAAAAATGCTACTTATCGAACAATGGTCAAATACTCGTTCTCGTATTTTATTCATAGACATCTGTTCACAATCCACCCTCTCGGAGCCCTAGCGTCTTCAATGACACACTACCCGATGACTAGTTTTGATACCATTTGTAATGGCTAAAGCTCGCTGCTAATAGATATTGTCCGTTTTGACTCGTTACGTATCGTCGTGGGCCTCATAGTTTTAAAGCGTGTCTGTTAGGGAGATTGACATTTGAAGGTCAAATTACAAATTCGTCCAATGTTCGGATAAAATTAGAATTTAGTATTTATAATGTTAGCCGTTAGAATATTGTAGATACGGTTCGATAAAACCTTTCGACCATTAAAGGGTCACAAGCAGATTGATATGTGGTTGTTAGAGATCACTGATGGATTGCGTACGTGAGAAGGATTATCCTATGACACCGTCGCTATAGCTTTTGACGATATAAGGTTTTATCAAATCACGGGAATAAAATTCCATCGAACTTTAGGGTTATGTCGAGCGTGTTTACATGTTATGGTTTGATCAAAGCAGTTTGTAAGACGAACGACGTTGAGCGTGCACGGAAGGTGTTTGACGAAAATGTCTGTGTGTAATTTAAAATGTTAGTACCAATAGATGTTTCGATTAATGTATTCGGTAGGTCTATTCGGTCGGTAACTATATTTGAGTTATTCGGGCCACAAACCCAACTAGCTGAAGATTTCGAATTGGTCTCAGATTGATCCAAAATATTTTTACAACCTAGTCCGTATACACTGTGTTCGTCTTCATACTTCGAGATTTGCAATCAAGCGAACACGTACATACAGCAATGTGCATACCTGAGTTTTCGCATGAGTTGTATTCGGGTAAGAGAACCTCGGCTAAAATCAGACGAAGGAGAAAAGTCGGACAAAAAAATTACTAACCGAACTTAGGTTATTCTCAAAGCTTATGAGGATCGAGATCGTTACGATGCACGGTTCTAAAATTACGACCTAATTTGTTAGTTGTCGGATCGGATTAGAATTCGGAATCCAAATCGAAAGCTCACATCACAAATTTGAGATTTGATTTGAGATTATTGAGAAAGCCAAAGAAAATATCTATCCATCAATTTCTCTCTTCATCTTCCGCTCCGTACACTCATCCACCTCAAACCCTAACAATCCACCAATCTCAAGCTTCCATTTCCCTCCAATGGAGCTCTGTCCTGTACTCGACACTTGTCTTCCTTCCCCTTCACGTTGTTATTCTTCTTCTTCCGCCGTCCACCGCCCCCTTCTTCTTCTTCTTCCCAAAATTTCCGTTTCTGCCCGGCGAATTCCCTCATTTTCGCATTCTTTTCGTCCAATTCGTCGCCGGAATGTTTGTTCTTCTTCGAGCTCTGATACCCTTGTTGCCGGGTCGCGGAAGGAGGATGGGAAGAATGGTGAAGCTGTGACCAAAATGGAAGAGGATGAATTTGGAGATTTGAAGGCTTGGATGCACGAGAATGGACTTCCGCCTTGCAAGGTCGTTCTTGGGGAAAGGGCTTCGCATGATAGGAATCATCAGCCTATACATTATGTGGCTGCGAGTGAAGATCTCGAGGTGAAGTTATGAGGATTTTGTTGGTTTTGGAAGTGTTTTTTATTGTTAATTCGATGAATTTGTTGTGGAGCTTTTTGGGATTGGTCGATTTTTTTTTCTTTCAGGCGGGTGATGTTGCATTTTCAGTGCCGAATTCCTTGGTTGTGACGCTTGAGAGAGTTCTTGGAAATGAGACTGTTGGTATGATTTCTTCTGTCTGTAAATCATTTCATTGACTGTGCTACTTCAAATTCTTGCTACTAATGAGCATGTTCATAATCGATTGCCTGAAACTAGCAAGTGAAATAAAAATATGTTCTATGATCTCTGGTTGTAGCTAGAAGCAGTGCTGTTGTACTCTCTGTTTTTACATTGTTAGATGAAGCATTTCGGCTCGCTTTTCAAGACTTGTGTCATGTTGCTTTCTTGTTCTTGAATATTTATTGCTGAGACCTTCCTAGTCTATTGTTATGGCATGGTTGTGTAGATTTTCTAACGCGAATTTGGGAGCCAGAAGTCAATCTTGATATAATAGTTTTGTATGTAATGGCTGCTTGGATTTTCTTGCAGCCGAATTGTTGACTACCAATAAGTTGTCAGAGTTGGCATGCTTGGCTTTGTATTTGATGTATGAGAAGAAACAAGGAAAGAAGTCTTTCTGGTACCCTTATATCAGAGAGCTCGATCGTCAGCGTGGGAGAGGCCAATTAGCCGTAGAGTCGCCTCTTATATGGTCAGAAGCTGAACTTGATTACCTTTCTGGCAGTCCAACAAAGGTAGCAATATTGATTTTCAACTTATTGTATGCCTCCTTCACCTAATTACTCATTCTGAGTTGGAAACTTTCTGGATCAGAGCGAAGTTCTTGAAAGGGCGGAAGGAATCAAGAAGGAGTATAATGAACTCGATACTGTCTGGTTTATGGCTGGCTCTCTGTTTCAGGTAATGCCCTTGTATAGTTTGGAGAACAATTAGATGAAGAATAATTGCTTTTATTGAGTTTAAGCTGTTTTTAATTTGGAAATTTGCAGCAATACCCATATGATATTCCAACTGAAGCGTTTTCCTTTGAGATTTTCAAACAAGCCTTTGTTGCAGTTCAGTCTTGTGTGGTGCATTTACAGGTAATCGAAACCCGTTTAGTTTCTTTGATCCTCTTCAGTATTGAGTGATTCTTTAAACTAATTTGTTGTTATTATTTATATGATCTAGATTTCTTAACTATCATTGCAATTATCATTACCCTTGATGGTTAATTAGATGAAGTGCTTGTGAGACAAAGATTCAAATTGATTATCTAATGGCTTATTGAATTCAGAAAGTAAGTTTGGCTCGGAGATTTGCTTTGGTGCCTCTTGGCCCTCCACTCTTGGCTTATAGAAGCAATTGCAAGGCAATGTTAACTGCTGTTGATGGCGCTGTGGAACTAGTGGTTGATCGTTCATACAAGGCCGGGGAGTCAATCGCTGTTTGGTAAGTTTATTACATGATTGAAATTACGCGCGACTGTTCACATGATCGCTTATCTGTTAAATGTTTTTGTTTGTGTTGCACATCTTTTAGTTCCTTTAGCAAGATTTTCATTTTTGTTCAAACTCTTGAGAACAGGTGTGGGCCACAACCTAATTCGAAATTACTCCTGAATTATGGTTTTGTCGATGAAGATAATCCCTACGACCGCTTACTAGTTGAGGTAAGGCTTTGTGTTCGATTGCAAGTGATCTTTTGGATGAATGTCTTCTCTTAATGTTCTTATCCGATGTTTCAGGCTGCTTTGAATACTGAAGATCCTCAGTACCAGGATAAAAGAATGGTTGCTCAAAGAAATGGCAGATTATCAGTTCAAACTTTTTATGTATGCATTTAAAATACTGGCAGAAACGAAAGTTTTAAGTTATGGCGTTTCGTGAAATTTTATTTCCGACACAGGTTTACGCTGGAAAGGAGAAAGAAGCTGTCTTAGACATGCTTCCTTATCTTCGGCTTGGCTATGTTACTGATCCTTCAGAAATGCAGTCTGTTATTTCTTCTCAAGGCCCAGTATGTCCAGTAAGTTCTCTCTTGTCCACGTTCATTATTCTCCTTGTTTAAGGATTGGATCTTTAATAGAGCTTGTAAGTTGTTTGTAAACGTTCGTGTAAGACTTTAATATCTAGGTCGATGGTCGTGTTAAGATTTGGATCGTTTGATAAAACCCGAATAGAACTAGAATATCGTAAATGAATACAGTTACTCCCAAATATTTTTGATGTACTTAGATGCTCCTTCTCTTGAGGATTCTTACTCAAACCTAAAGCCCTTAAACAATGGCATACTTTTCTCTCCTCCCACTCACTCAATTTATAATCATCTCTCGATAACGAACTTCTTGACTTGGTTTCTTCGATATTCGTGATCGGGCCAGAATTCCTTAGGCTAATTACTAATATGCCCTTAGTTTCTTATAATTGTATTCCTAACACCATCTTTCTAGAGTTAGATTACATTTTCTTACTTGCCCCCAATATACCATTAGGCCAACCTAGGTGGTGGTTGGCGTACGGTTAGCTACATCTTCCTTGGCTTGTTCGTTCAAGTTCATCTTTTCCATACAAAGGATATGACATATTCCTGATACTAATATTGATTCCTGGATTCAGATGGGTAAAATCCTTAATTATATGACATATTGATTCCCAACACGATCCCTGCCTTATTTTTCACGAGTTTCGATGGGGCGGACAGTTTGTAAAAGTTCTTGTTAACTTGTAAACAATACTTGATGATCCACCTACGGTGAAACCTTTTTTTTTAGGTGAGCCCCTGCATGGAAAGAGCAATGTTGGACCAAATTGCTGATTATTTCAAGAGACGACTGGCAGGCTACCCGACTACCTTGAGCGAAGACGAGTCTCTGGTAATTTTTTGCGTTCTATTTTTTGTTCTGATCGACCTGTAATTCTTCACTTTTGCTTATCCATGGATCGATCAGTTGGCCGATGGTAAATTGAACCCGAAGAAGAGAGTTGCTACCCAGCTTGTTAGAATAGAAAAGAAAATCCTTCATTCATGTTTGCAAGTGGCGATTGATTTCATAGATCAGTTACCAGATCACACAGTCTCTCCATGCCCAGCTCCCTATGCCCCCTTGTTGAGATAAGTAAGGTATACGAACCCGTTCGTGTTTGTTTATGGAATTCAACACTTGTGTTTGCCCTGTTTTCATCGTGTCTTTTCGTTCACTTATAGTTGTAGATAGTTCTTCCAGCAAGTGGTCTCGTGTCTGTTTTACGATACTGCAACACCGAACTGCCACGCAAAATCCTCCATCCCAAGATGAAGCTGAAATTAAGGTCAGTTTGATTTACTCCCATTCATCTACTAAGCTTTTTGAAGCCTCAAAATGATTAACTGGGACGTGGGGCGTCCTTTAACCCACCGACCAATCCCGAACGAAGCTTCATCTATTATCCCCACACGTCTAGCTCCCAGAGATAACAAATGTTTCAAGATAAGTTTTCAACCGGGTTTTAAACTCTAAATGGATCGATGGTTAGTTGAACGATTTCTTCTTCTTATAAACATCAACTTAATCGATCGGTGTATGAATGGATCGATGATTGGTTCGAGCTGGGAAATTCTGAAAATGCCTGCTTGTCTAAACTGTGCTCGCCTTCTCTCTCTCTCGAGCTCGTTTGCTGGGTTTTGATATCATGTTGTTATTTGGCAGGTAGATCTCAAATAAGCTGATCACTACTTAGGATGCTTGTGGTGTTTCAGAGTGACCAGTAATCGAAGATGATTATGGCGGCCATGGATTTCAAGGTACCGAGTAATAAAGCCATATTCATTCCTTCAACTCTCTGACCTCTACGCCATGTAAATAACCAGAATCACTCCATCTTCTTTCAATGCAATTCCCTTCCTTTGCTTGATATCTTCCTCCCATTTTTAGCTGTTTTCGTTGGTACTCGTACTCTTGATCGAATGTGTTCGTCATAGTTTAGCAGAATCCACATGAACAAGCACCAAAGTTTTGGAGATCAAAGTCTAATTTCCTTTTTTTCCTCTAATGGGTATCGTGGGTGGAGTATAGGTTTGTTTTAATTCGTTGAGCTATGCTTAAGTCGGCGACGACAGTGGTGTAATATTATGGATAGATTGAATCATTTTTGTCAACTTATATTTGAAATAAGTTATATTTTATATTTAGAATAGGTAAACAAAATTTTAAAAACCATTGGGTTTCTTCTCAAACGCCATCGTAATCTCAGCTCTCGTTATTTCAACCCATATCTAATGTAGCCCACAGCTCGCCCAAAACCCTACCCAGCTTTCTAGGCCATCCAATCTCCGTCATTCCACTTTAGCTCTCCTCCAACCACCTTGCCCCTGTCCCCGTGGCTTATGGGCAAATTCCATTCCCTCTTGGAAGAAAACTCTCGGCATTGGCGGGTTTTCCACTAAATTCAGGGATTTTGCCCTTTATCTATCCTAGTTCACACCCGGTGAAAAGGAATTTGAAAAAGACAACGGAAAAGGTTGTCCCATCTCTCATCCACAAGCCTATTGTGCGGTTGTCGGATGTCTGTCGATTAAAAAATTCTTAAATTTAGTATTTTGTCTAGAAAATTTCAATATTAACTATTAAAATAGTCCAAAAAAAAACATCATGGAGGTAAATTGCAAATAATTCAAAAAAATATTATTAAACTTTGTTTCAAAAATTTAAAAATGCATAATGAATTTTTTAAATAATAATCCAATGTTTGTAGATAATTTATGAGATGTCAATAGATGAATTTCGTCCATATATTGACGTTTTAAGATTATTTATGTTAATTTAAAAATTTTATCGATATTTTTTAAATATAGTACTAAACGGTAAATGTATTTTTGAAATATTATTAAAATTTTAATTTTTTTTTAAAAAATAAAATATTAACTATTTCATTCAATTTTAATTTTTTTTTAAAAAAATTAAGAATATTTTCAAGAGAAATATAAAATTTAGAGAAATTTTTATTAATTCAATTAAAGAAAGAAGGAAGTTAAGACGGTTGAGGGGACGACATGTCGTTCGATCAGCAATCACGGACTTGGATTTAATATGGAATCCCAATCATATTACGTAAGATGGTTTGAGATCCGTATACAATTTCGCCTTTCATTTACAGTTCCCTCCAATCTTGACCAATCAAATTCCCACCGTCATTTACTTTTCTCACCGACTGGCAAAATTTAAAATAAAATCTCCTCCCAACTGGGATCCACATGCAACGGCTACGATCGCCCGATCCACCCACTGGTGCCTTCAATCTCAACCGTCCATTTCCCTACACCCCGTGGAAAAATCGCGGCCTTTGTGTTTTAGCATAGTAGACTAGAGAGTGAGGGCTTCGCACTTTCTCTCTCTTCTCTCTCTCTCCTCTCTCTCTCTCTCTAGGTTTTCGACGCGCATTCTTTTTTCTTCTTCGATCTTCGATTTCGACTTCGATTGGCGTTGTTTTTCTGCGAGTTTTCTCGGATTTGAGGTTTGGATGTTCTGTTGCATCCTTCATCTGTGTTTCAAGTTCGATTTCAAGTTGTGGGGTTCAGTGACGGGTTCTGATCTACGCTTTTCGATTGGGGTTTTCTCGGGTTTTTAGTTGTTGGAGGGGTGTTCTTGCGATTCAGGCCTGTGCGAGGGGTTTTGTTTCGTGGAGCTGTTGGGATTTACTCGCAAGTTCGTGAAGCGACTGGTAATTCATCTAGGGTTGTGGTCTGCTTTTCAATTTTGGGGTTTGTAGATGGTCAAATCTCGGGGGGTTTTGTTGTACTTGGGTTATTTGCAAAGAAACGAGTATTTGGATTGGATCTAATTGCTCTCTTTTCGTAATTTATACTACTGACTTATAGTTCATTTAAAATACAAAAAAATTGTTCTGATTCGTTCGTACTTTTCCTTATATTGTTATTGTCTTGTGGGTTAATTCGTGAGTTACTGAATGGACGTGTTGGTATTGAGTTCATCGGAGTGGTGATAAATTTTCGCTCTTGGTGCTCTCGAATTTCTCCAGGGTTTGGCCTGAATGAATGATTTGGCGTGATTAATCTATTGCAGAGGTGTATGATTACGTGCTGAATTAGTGACTGTGTTCTTGAAGAAGCAGAATTTATCCAAGGCGCTGCTGAAGCAGGAGGGTGGTTCATATAAATGGATATGAGGACGGAGAAGAATATCAGATACCCGGAAAGATACTATGGCCATAGTTCCTTTCGTACCGGTGAATCAGAGGGTTCTGGAAGCTCGGGAAGAATTGATCCTGAAATTGCTGCTTCAGAAGTTTCTAGTACCCCAATGAGGAGATGTATCAGTTTTAATTCTGAAAGTTGTGAAGGTTTGCGAGTTCCCACTCGAGTTCTTCCGTTGACAAACCTATTGCAGTCTGAGAGGAAGGACTTGATTTATAGATTGAGAAAAGAACTTGAACAGATTCAGACCCTCGGAAAGAGAGTAGAATTGCTTAGAACGAATAGTTTTACAGTATCGTCTTCGAGTGATATTCTTAGCTGTAGCAATGGACGCGATGGGCCATCAGCTGAGTACATTATGAATACCTCAAATTTGACTTCTGGGAAACAAAAGAAATCTAATGTTCCAAGCCAGAAGAAAGGGCAAGGAAGCAGACAGGTTGCTTCAGGTAGAGCTGAGTCTACCGTGCAAGCGTCTGTTTCCAACATCACAAATGCTACTTCAGCAGCTTTGATGAAACAATGTGAACAACTTTTGAAAAGGTTAATGTCGCACCAGTATGCCTGGGTATTCAACACGCCTGTTGATGCAGTGAAGTTAAATCTCCCTGATTATTTCACGGTTATTAAGCATCCAATGGATCTGGGAACCGTGAAGTCCAAGTTATCTTCTGGAGCGTACGCAAGTCCACTCGATTTTCTTGCTGATGTGAAGCTTACTTTCTCCAATGCAATGACTTACAACCCCCCTGGAAATGACGTGCATATTATGGCTGATGTTCTCAATTCATATTTTGATATGAGATGGAAGGCTATTGAGAAGAAACTGCCCAAAACTGATGGTCATGCATTGCCATCTAAATCTAGACCTCGGGAAGCTGTTGAGACTGTTAAGCACACGCCTCAAAAAAAGATGAAAGTTGCTTCTAGGCCCCAAGAAGTTACACCCATACCCACCAAGCGTGTGATGACAGATGAAGAAAAGCTAAATCTGGGGAGAGAGCTGGAGTCGCTGTTAGGAGAATTGCCCATGCATATAATTGACTTCTTGAGAGAGTATAGCTCTGGTGGAAGGGAATCCGGAGAAGAAGATTTTGAGGTTAACATTGATGATCTCAGTGATGATACACTTTTCAAATTGCGGAAGCTTCTAGATGATCATTTTCAGGAAAAACAAAAGAATAATGCCGGTGCTGAACCTTGTGTGATTGAGGTATTAATACCGATTCGACGATTGTGTTCTATTTTACACTTCGTGTGTATTTGACTGCTTCTGTATTAAATAATTTATTACTTTCAGTTGCAGATGCTGAATGACTCCGGAGTAAGCAACTCATCAATGCAACCATCTAAAGGTCTTAGGCCTTCCTTGATTTCACTAAGCATCTATCGAGTCGATTTTCCTATAGCTCTTTACTCTATTTTCTTCTTATTGCAATATTAGGGAGTGGGCCAATTGATGAGTATATGAATGTTGGTGGGCATGAAGCTCCGGTTTCAAGCTGTGCTCCTTTAGAGATAGAGAAAGGTGCTGCTGACAGCAAATGCACGATCTCAAGAAATTCAAAGGGTTAGTCAAGTTTTCCTTTTCTGTGTTCTGTGGTATTCTCTGTTGTGGTATTCTGTCTTTGCCATTTTGCGAGATCAAGATCTTTTAGCATTATACCTACTTATTGTAGTTATTGAAAGCACTTGAGGAGTCTCGTAATATATGTATTATAGCTAATAGATCCGTATGTTGGATGGGTTGATAAATGAGTGGAATGTCATCGTTAATGTGCGACCTTTGTGTTTGCAGATTCGGATATTTCTAGTTATGAAAACGATTCTGAGTGTGACAAAGCTTCAATTCGAGTGCACGAACAGGTGTTTTATTGATTAATAATTTGTTATCAAATGGGTGGCGTCTGGTCAATATGAATACTTGCTTTGTTGTTATTGTTTAATGGATGTCAGAGGTTGTTGATTTCTTGTTTTGGACTATCAGCAGGTTCCAGAAACCATTGGCTCCGAAGGTCCTATGATTGAAGCTACTACTTCGGATGGACCTCTTGAAAGGAATCGTGGGTGTTCTTATCCTTCTTTGTCATTCGTTTTAAGAAATTGGATTATGCTATAACTTTTTTTTATCTTCATGAAATAGATAACTCTGTGCTGGCTGGACAACTATTAAATATGAGCTTTTAGTTTTTTTTTGTGGATATGGGCACGTTGAGATGTCATTTTCAAAAAATCTAGGATAACCATATGAACTAGGCACTTTATTTATTAGACATTTAAAAAAGTTTCATGTACACTTCTAATCTTTGAAATTTAATGTCTCTAAACTTTAGACTGTACTGGTTTGTCTGTGCTTTTTCTTTCAATTTTGTAATTGCTTAGTTCCTAGCTTTAGCATGTAACAATTTAATCCAACATTTGTAACAATTTGAAATTTCTATCCGAAAAATATGTTCTTAAGATTTAATGAGATTATTTACATATGTTGATCGATAAATTAATTAGGGGCTGATTGTATGTATATTTTACAAACACTAAGTCCTTTTTCTTGTATATATTACAAACACCATGTCCTTTTTCTTGTATATATTACAAACACCAAGTCCTTTTTCTTGTATATATTACAAACACCAAGTCCTTTTTCTTGTATATATTAAACTTTTGGGGCTGATTGTATGTATATATTAAATTGATTAGGGGCTG